AGTTTTCTTTCCTCCCGGAAAAGAGGCCGTACTCTCCCTGTGTCAAGGAGGTTTGTGCTATACACCTTATACCCACCGAACACCGTGCCCTCTATGTAGGAATCACAGAATGCATGCCCTGCCTGTGCTATCTCGTGTTCGCTTTAGGACAACGAGCAAGCAACCTACTTCTATGTCTGCATCCTCACCAGTTCATCCTTTCTTCAACCTGGCTTCAAACTGCACTTTTCTCCCGAGCCTGCCTCCTCACTGCTACGCCCACTGGATACTTACATTCCCTGTGACGTTGGATGCTGTCCTGCCCTTTCTTCAACTCCTGTCGCCGTGCTCTCCCGGCCTCTCTAGTGGCACTTTTTTTTTAAAGAAAGATTTTTGCCATAGGATGCGTGTGCTTGCCAGAGAGACAGAGAGAGATAGAGAGTGAGAAATCCCCCCTGGGGGGATGGTCATGCAACAATCCCTTCTCCTCTGTTCTCTCGGGATTTGGGGCATGCACACACAAGCACCTGGTATGAGTTTGAAGTTTCTGGGTCTGGGACACGAACCGTGGCCGACATGGAAGTCCAGTGATGTAACCATTATGCCATATGCTGGTCCCTTAAAAAAAAATTTTTTTTTTAATGCTGAGGGTGTGTGTACTCACCAGAGAGAGAGAGAAGGAGGGAGAAGGAGAGAGCATCCCCCACTGGGGCGTGGTCAACCTGCAACCCCTTCTCCTCCATTTCTCCATCCTGTTAGGATTTGCACACACACATGCCTGGAGCGTTTTTCACCAGGGCCAGGATTTGAATTGCACAGAGAACCATTGGGATCCTGCTTCTTTAACACCAGGCCCTGGGACCAGTGGCCTCGTGGCTTTCTTACTAGTCTCCTCTTTCACTATGTTATTAAAGTGGGTAGTCTCCAACACTCAGGGGTATGCTCCCTTCCCAGCTCACTTTCTGCCTTCCCTAAATGCGTTCATCCTTACCTGAGACTGATCACACTCCTAACTCCCAATTTTGGTTCGCAGCCCCTGTTTGGCTCCTGCACTGTCACCCGCCTGCCTGGCAGCAGCAGTACCAGCACAGCCTCAGCACACAAACCAACAGCACCTGGCCCCTTGCTCACCCTCCCGTCTGGCCCCCTCCCCGGAATTCCCTGTCTTAGTTCATGACATTGCCATTCACCCCATCTTCCAAGTCAGAAAATTCTGATTCATGGCATCACAAAAATTTAAGCTCTAAAAACATAAAAATGAGCACTTCACAGTCTTAGATAAAGACGACCATCACCTAAGACTGGATTAACAAGAGACAAACAACCTTCTTCTCCACGGGAGCTAGGCCTGGTGGGTACAAGGCGCTTCCAGGGTGTCCTGCGCTCCCAGACCCGGCTGCCCCGTGCCCAGTCGTGGCTCCAGCCTTCCTGTGCTGCTGACTGTGCCTCAACAGGGGCAGCGTGGGCCCGAGGGGACGTGGGGAAGTCTGGACACACATTCTGGTTGCCACGCTAGGGAAAAGGGAAGAGGGCTCTGGCTGGCATCTAGCAGGTGGAGGGCAGGGATGGGCTCAACATCCCCCAGCACTAACAGGGCTGAGACTGAGAGTCCCCGCATGAGAGTATCTGTTTTGATTTCCCAGCTTGATGAATCTGATTCACCTATCAAAACTCAGCTCAAGTGTCACCTTCTCTACGGAATGTCCCTCTACCAACCAGGTCCTCTCCTCCAGAAAAATACCATCACATCTTTCTCCTGCATCCCTCTATTTCAGGAGGTCACACTTCAGACCAATGTGTTCCTGTTTAGCAGTGTGTCTCTGTCATTAGGATGGGCCCAGTCTCAAATGGATGCTGTATTTTATTCATCTTTTACTCCCAGTGGTTGGGACAGCACCTGGCACATGTGTTGGGTGATGCATAAGCAAAAGATGCGCATCTGGAAAGAACAGAACATATTTCCGAGCCAACAGTTCAGCTCCCCGAACCTCTCCGAACTTAAGTCCTTGGTTCTAAGAAATTCACGTGTACAAGTACACATTTCTCACCAGATTTCTGAAGCTGGCCAATAACATGGTTGCATCAGTTTTAGAGCCAATATTTAGAGATTACATTGTCCTTTTATAGAAAGCTGAGGTGCTATTCGAAATAAACATAACCAGTATATCCAAATACTCTGTTAAATGTAAAAAAATAAGCTGGAAAAAAACAAAGGAACACAAAAATAAGGATATAGTTCAACATTTATTTTAGGGAGAACATTAGATAAAGAAAATTTTGAACTAAATAATTTTGAGATTAGTACTAAAGGCTTTGAAATATGTGAGACATGCATTTTTTAAAGTTCTACTCTAGGCTTAAACAATTTATCTACCCAGGACTAAGTAACAGATGATGAACAAAACTGTTATGCCAAAAAGAAAAAAATGTCATAATTCTTTCAAATAAAAACATGCATATAAATTAAGAATGGGACAAAATGCTAAGGTTCATAAAATAGTAGGGTAATCAAATCTCAGACAACATAACATAGAATCAGAAAACAACAGACAGGAAAAACTAAAATAGTAATAGAGTCAACCATTACACAGATTTTAGAAATCTGAACAGTAATAACTTTTATAACTGTACTAAAAAGTATCCCCACTCCTTAGCCCCTGTCTTGATGAAATTGCCACAACACTACACACAACACAAAAACATAAAGTATCTATTTTCAGGGCAAAAATCATTATATAGCGTTTAGGAAAGTAATACTGCATTTCAAAAGATATATGTGATAAACACGTCAGTTACTGTCGTGTTCTTTGCTATGCCTGAAATAAACCTGATCCTACAGACTACAAAGTTCCATCTTCATTCTAAGTTGTTAACACAGAACAGAGCCTGGGTCCCAGGGACATGTCAAAGTTCTCACTAGATTCTAAAAATTAGCCATTAATGAGCTGTTGATTACAGAGCTCTCGAAGCACAACACCATGCTGCTAGAGGCTGGTAGCTAAACACACAAGAAAAGAATCTGTAGACTTCTTGATGATTTAGAAACCAGGGTCTCTGACCAAAGTGATTTAATTCCAGTGATTTAATTTCACGGCTGCTCAGTAAAGAGAGCTGACATTACTAAATGCTACTCTAATATCAACTCGTTACATGTGAATCCAGACTCAGCATATCAGAATACTAACCTAGACTAACTGGAGTCATGGGAAATATTTTGGGAGCTGTTTATTTATAAATGAGTTACAATATACCACTATAATTAGATTAATATATAATTATTGATAAACACAGGATTATCTCTAAAACGCCATTATTGTTGCCACTGCTATGTTTAGAAAAAGCAACGTTAGTATCTTCCTCCTAAGGTAAGCCCTTGATCTATCACTTAACAATTAGATCCACTTAGATCTAGTATAAGTTGAATTTAACTGTCACTACAGTGTTGACAACACTTTGATAAAAAGTAGTTTAACAAACATTAAAAGGAGGAACAATTTGAAATGTTCTAGCAAACTGTATACTTCTGAACTATTTTGTAATCTAGCAACCTACCCAAAAGTAGGACCTGTAACAAGTGAGTCATTTGCTTGTCACAAAAAAATTCATTATCTTACCTAAGAATAAATAAAACCAATAAAAATGTATATATTTGGCAAAGGAAAAGCCATTTAATTCAGTTCCCTTAAAAATACATTTAGCATACCCCTTTTCGAAAGCATCAACAACGAATTATAATATTATTACAAAATCAACTACCTTAAAGCTATTTCTAGAAATAGTTCTAAGTATTCCTTTCAAATTCAACTAATATCAATTCAATTAGCAAACTATCAATATGCTTTTTCATGGTGTTTCTTTTAGGGGAGAAAACAGTTGCATGATTATAATCTCCTAAGATTATTTTAGAGAAGTTTTCTAAATGGAAATAAGAATTCTAAAACATCGGTCAGAACTTGAAATCTGATCTTTTTTTCATCTTCAGTAAAGTAGCTGCCTGCATTACCATCTGAACGCTGGTAACAAAGATTATATTTACCAGATTTCAAATAGAGAAAACAAACAAGGCATTATGGTATCTTTTATTTACCGAAAGCTACTTGTCTAGAATTTTTTTTTTAATCTTTAATACAGATATTGGGTGTTACATACATTTCCCGGAATCTGGCAAGACCTTCCAAATATAGAAATCTGAAAACTCATTTTCAGTTTAAAACACTTTAAATATGTAAAGAGTTATGTAAGGAATTCCTTTGGATAAGATTCATCAGAATGACATTACTAATATAATAAAAGCAAAACTGTCGATACAACAAATTAATCAGGTAAATAGAAATTATGGGAAATGCCTAGCAATGGAACTCAAATTCAAAATTATATAATTTACCATTCAATATGGGTGAAAGAGTTATATTTTAGAAAAAAAAAATACAGGGTGGAAAAAATGCCTATGGTTAAGGGTTTACACAAATGCAAATGCCATTTACTCTTCTTCTGCTTTAAATGCAGCATGATCATTTTTATCAATGATCTTATAAATATGTCTATCTTACACAAATATTTCATGTTTTTGTCTGTATTTTTACAATTTTACATAAGCATTCTATATTTTACTTTATTTCACAATCAAGAAGAAGAAAAAACAAATCATTTTTGAAAGGAATAAAATATGAAGTTGTACATTAAACTATTAAGACCATGTAACTTGAGGGAAAACATACCAAGATAAAATATTATGACATAGATTGTGATTAAAGCTGTTTCTGTACTATACAAACATTTCATGCCTTACATCACTTAGGAATGATCTCTTTTAAAACATACCGTTTATACGTGGCTAAAAGAACAGAGCTAAAAATTATTGAGGGTTCTTCAGATTTATAATTATAAAGTTCCTGACTACCTAATATTTGCTAGCTAGGGTCATAAAAGTACAAAAACCTGCTAAGTTACATTTTAAAACAAATATTTCTTTACGTGATTCCTATAAAAAGTCATATTGATTAAGATGAAAGGAAACTTACCTTGCAAGAATTAGATAGTTGACTTGTGAAATCTCTATTGCTGTCTCTTGATAAATGATCAACTTTCCCTTCATTTCCAGACGCAAACTTTATGAGTAATTGAGATGGTCCCCCCTTAGAACAATTGTGTTTAAGACTGGATAAACAGGAAATATTTGGGTAAGTATTTCCTCCCAATGAAATACTTCTTTGCAGAACAGCATCGTTTTTGTTTATCTGTGAATTTGGTCTTTCCAACTCTCCACTGACACTTAGTTGATAATCGACATTTCGGGAGGACGGTAAACATGCAGATGTCCTATGCATGAGTTTAACATACTCTGAATCAGAATTCAGTTTAATTTCTGATAGCTCTGCTTTACGATCACCACTTGCTGCTTCACAATCCAATGCAGTTGCTTTCTGCTGGCTGAAATGCACAGACACACAAGAATATCCTTCCGATGGCTTTTCACAGACAGTCTGCTTTGGGCTAGTACTCGAAATAACAATTTTCTTTTGTATTGATCCCTTCCTGGGAAGGGGCCGTATGTCTCTCACTTCTCCAGGAGTACAGACGGATTTAGATAACCGCAGTCCATTGACAGCTGTGGACAGAAACCCCTTGGCACCGCTACCATCTTCATTCTGTGCAATTTCACTAGGAGAAACGAGGAACTGGTGTGAAGTTTGATATGCTCCTTTGCTCGGAAAAGTGCCTGTGGTTGTCGGAGATGTTGGGGGGGTATCTGAAGGACTCCTAGGAAAAATGACCAACGAAGAGCAACGTTTCAGTGGAATTTTTGCATTCCTG